GGTCTGAGGGTTGCGTTTTGCCCTGATTGCTCCCAATTACCGTAAAGGGTTTGGGTTATGCTATTTATTTGAATCCCCTGGTTTAAGAATGTTGTATTTTACACACCATAAACTCTCTCTCTAGCTCCACCATCGACTGTGAGAACGTGGGTGAAGGCGGAGGCCCTAGGGCTTCTTCTTGCTAATTCAAAGATCAACATCGATGGTAGAAGGTGGAGGCATCAGTAGAGGGAACAATCTAAAAAGAGAGGAGATCGAACCATTTAGTGTGAGGTTCGATTTGGAAGAAATCTCAAACCCTTAACCTTAAACATGATGTGAAGCGATTGATCCATAATTTTCTTCGTCTACGTCAATTCATTGGGCTCGCATAATCGGATGATGGTCATAAATTTAGCATTCTTCGAGAAGGAAGGTGCATCGCCATAGTTTAAGTCTGGAAGAGGCAATGAGGATTGGAGGTAGTGGATGTGGACGAGGGGTGGAGACGAGGGAGAAGAAGGTGGGGTTTAAAAATTTTGGGGATTTCATTTTCCCACCGAGACGCGCGTTTCTTAAAAGAAAATATAAAACGACACTCACATACGGCGCACAAGTACCTTCCGTTTTTTTAATATTTTTACATGAGACACTAATTTAAGGGCACTCAGTAATGCGCGACCTAAATCCTTAAATTTTTTGAAGAGATGACACTTTTTTAAGGTCGCTCTCTAATGCGTAACATAAATCAAAGAGCGTCGTGTTTTGCTCATCGTAAAAGGCTTTTTTTCTAGTAGTGATATATATATATATATATATATATATATATATATATATATATATATATATATATATATATATATAACTAAGATTCAAACGACCTTCAGACAGACAACTGATACCCTAAGTCTACAACCAAACAAGGAACAAGAAATAAAGCGAGTTATTAGTCCTAAGTCCTTTCAATCTTATTTATATAACTATATCTTAATAGACATGATTTTGACAATATATAAGTTTAACAGAGCTTGATAAAGAATTTAGCATATAAAAGAGTTTGATAAAAGGGGTTGAAATAGTTTGTTTGATAACATAGTTTTGATGTATAAGAAATCCATATGTTTGATAGTTATTAATCATATGTGATTAATATAATAACTATAATGTTTCAACTTGTATCCCCCCCCCCCCATAAAATAATTTAAAATCATTTAAAAGGTAAGTTAGGGGTATGAACTCACCTGTAGTGAGTGGTTCGAATGTATGATCGGAAGAGGATGCTGAGTGCTAAGTGAAATCCCGAGCACAAACGGATCTTAATAAGCATATAATGACACATATATTGATATACTTAGTGTATAAGCAACTAATCAAGCAAGCAAACCACCTTAGGGACTAGGAAACATTTATATTGAAGTGTTACAATCACAAAGGATTGCATCAAAGGGTTTACGACCACACATTGGAGTTTACATTCATTGTGTTTATGGTCTAAGTGGTATGCGGTCATGGAGTGTATGGTCAAGGAGTTTACGGTCATACACTCATGGGGGAACTTGCAAACGAGGTGTTTTATGGCCCTAACAAGCATTCCCTAAGTGTTCACGATCCTAGGTTCGGACTTAAATGAGTTTGAGGCCAAAACATGCACCAACACAAGAGTTTACGGCCATACAAGGGTTTACGGTTGTAAACTCTTGATGTTCATGTATTTATTATGTTTCAAGGTTAGGAATCCAGTGTTTATCAAGCCTAACTAGGAGATAGAAGAGATATTCACGTTTTTTAGGCTTGGGAAGGGATTCACGGTCTAAGAACTAGTATATGTTCTTGGTGAAAGTGAAGAAGACTTGAAGATCTACCCAAAAGATGAATTTCATGGATGAAATCAAAGGGTGATACAAGATCAAGAATGATAACAACAAATAAAATAGAAGGATTGCTTACATTTTGGAAGATCAAGGTGAAAACTTGATGATTATTGAGAGAAAATTCGAGTTCTTGAGTTGATGGGGGGAAAGTGGTGAAGAATAAAGGAATATTATCTTATTTAAGGGATGAGATCATGGCCAAGGAGGTGTTTACGACCGTAAACTCTTGTTTACAGCCATAAACTCCTTATGATGGAGTTTCAGCTTGTATGCTGCACACTAAACTCTATATGATACTTCCTAACACTCATTCCTTGAAGGTACTATGTTTAGAACACTCAAACAGACCCTTAGCAATGCTAAAAGATAGCAAAACAAGTCTGACTTTGATTGAGTTGAATGGCTTGTACAAGATAGACATTTCGAGTTGTCACAGATAGTCATGTATTATTGTAAGTGTGCACCAAAATGTAGTTCTCTAGTGAGAGAGATTGTGGTGGGATTTCTACCACCAAGTGTTCTTGTATTGTCATATTTTATTACTCTCTTTTCTAGTAAAATTATCAGATTACTCATCTCTTTCGTGTTCTTCATATTTTATCATTAAATCTCAAGATGTTCTTTTTATTCCACACAAGCTGATCGTCAAAATGGGCAACAACATTATTTTTGAGGGAGCCAACTCTTCTCGAATCGACTGATTGTGATGTGTTTATTTTTAGTCTTGGTTAGTAGGCGTGATTTTGACATTGGGGGAGTCTCCGCTCAGATTTGGCATACGACCCGGTTTTGCAAATCTTTGGGTTTTAGTCATAGTTTTGGGCATCCGATGTGGCAATTGCTCAAGAAAAAAGTGATTGGTCTTCGAAGATCTCTCGAAAGGATTCGGAGGAAGGCCTATCGTAGAATGATTGGTAAGGATATATTTCGAGGACGAAATTTAATTTAAGTTGGGAGAATTGTAAACCCATTTTTTGGATTGGATCAGTGTGAGGAATTAAGAAGTCAGAGGCATGATTTTGGGAAAAGTCATGGGTCGTGACATGACTATATGGAGTTCACAACGTGACGAGCCAAATCAGGTCACGACATGACACTTAGCTGGTCACGACATGAAGAGGGCTGCAGCCCAATCCCATGATCTTTTAGAGTTTGCTTCGTAGTTAAGCACACTTAACTTGATTTTAGGGTTTATTTCTCAGTCTTTCTTTCTTTAAACCTTAGAAATCCTAACCCTAGTTCTTCATGGTGGCTTTAGGGCTCATTTGGGTGATTTTAGCTCTTTGATGAAGAAGAAGGTTTCTTTGGTGTATTGTTTTGGCAAGAAAGTCTTATCTTCACCATTTTGTGTTGCTCCTAGACCTTGGTAAGTCCTGAAGTTCTTGCCTTTCTCATTTAAGCATGCTAGATGTAAGTTTTACCCTCTTTTCCCCATGTATGGGTTGAGTAGAATGCATGAAATCCATAAAGTTGGAAACCTTATGGATCTTTCGGGTCTTTTGTTGTGCTTATGTCTGAGATCTAAGGATTAGTGGTGGTTTGGACCCCAAGTTTTAATCCTGGCCTTATTCTCCTTGTTTTGAGCTAGCTAGTGCTCAAGTCATGCATTGGACACGCATGACTAAAAAGATGTGATTTTTATAGTCCTTAGGGTTGAGGTTTGGAAAGTCTCAAGCAATGGCTTAATGGATTAAGAGCTTAATGCTTAAAGCTGTCTAGAATGGATCTCACAGCCCGAGGAATAACATGTCACGTCGTGAGACTTTTTTTTTTGTCCAGGTTCGGTCACGACGTGACTTATAGGTGGTCACGAGGTGACCATTGATGAATTTTTTACCATGGTCGACTTTTGGTCAAACTAAGGGTTTTGGAGTGTAGACTGAGAGGGTACTCTTTATAGTTGTTAGGCATCTTGTTGCTCCTATCTACCCTGTGTGTGAGAGTTATCGTATTCCTGGATGTTATTTGTAAGGTGAGTCCTCTCACTATACTTGCATGTATGGTAGTGTGTGAATGTTAACCGACTAGGTCTTAATTGTTGATAGGTATTATATGTGAACTGAGTTGTTGATAACTCTTGGGTTGTTGTAAGTCCATGGAATTGCTGCTAGTTCCTATGGTTGCTAATAACCTGTGAGGTGTGCTGTTAATCCACATGGTGTGCTGTTAGCCCACTAGGACTGTTGATAGTTCCTAGGGTTACTGAGAACCCATAATTGTTATATTGTAGTTGTTATACTTTGTGTTGTTTGTGATATTCGAAACTACTGATAGTTCCAACGTTGTTGTTATATGTTGTGATGTATGAGATATTTGAGGAACTCACTAAGTTTTGTATTTATAGTTTTGGATTAAATATTTTCCGGGTACTTATCAGATTGCGAAGACATGACTGTACACACATACCAACAACATTATGATATGAGATTCCGTATTGTCTTCATTACAACTCTAATTTCTGAATAATGGTTTATGAAGATATGATTTATCCTGAATTTAACTTTATTGAAAATGGATGTCATATTATTTTAAAAATGGAAATTTGAACTTTAGGTTTTTAGGATGTTATATTTGAAAACATCATTTTTTTTGCATATAAACTTGAGAAATACATATATAAACTGAAACTATTATCTAAAACTCATAAAAGTAGAGTTTTTTTTTAGATTCAAGTTAAATTGGGAGCTTTTGATACCGATAAAGACATTGGTAATTTTCTTACCCAGTGTCATAACCATCACACTTCAGGTACATCATGACATTTAGTTGCCACACATATATCCAATTGATGAAGTATATAATGTTCTAAGCCTTTTCATATTATGTGGAGATTATGCTCCTAGTAAGTTAAGAAGCATCTAGTAACACCTAGAAAGTTCAATACCTACATTATACTTTCAAAATACTACTTAGTTATAATGGTTTCATTCAAATTCAAACCAATTTTGAATACCTATGAACAGATTCCAATTACCATCATATTGTTTGTTTCATCCCAAAGACTTGTAGAGCATAAGAAGAAACCTCAAACATGCAAATCACTCATAGAAATAGAGAATGACATAGATTTGTCTGATATCATAGCCAATAAACGAAATCAACTTAAGAAACAAAAGACATTGAAAGTTAGAGGCGGCCTATCCTTCTCTAATGGTGTTGATGTCACTGTTTTTGTCCAACTATGAATCAAATTTAGGAAGAGATGGAGATAACAGGAAGACGGTGGGAAGCACAACGGTATGTAGAAGAAATCAAGTGGAAGACGATAGGCAGTGCCTAGAAGCAAATTCGGCTAATTGGTTCCAAACCAACCGCTAAGCACCAGAAATCAGTCGTATGAATCCAAGCCAGAAACCACCCTACTCAATACTTGGCATTGTTCATTATCGCAACGCATATTAATATGTATATAATATGGTATCAAAATTATACATATTGGAAATTCTTTAAGAATACCTCGTTTTTTTTTTTGTTGATTTTGTTGATTATTGTATCCATATTCATAAGACTTATCATATACTACATCATATTGGAAATTCTTTACAAATATATCCATTCTCTTGGTATATTTGACCTTTTTATCAATCTATTAAAACAATATCAAAATCTTACAATTTTGTTCCAATTTTACAATTTCACACAAACAATTTATGAGTTTGATTTTGATCTAAAATCTCTCCTTTATAGTACTTTTTTGACATTTTTCAATATGAAGATTTAAGTCTTATAATATCGCATTGATGTCACCTTTCGGTTTGACAAATTTAACGAAGTCAAAATCTTAAAGGCGAAAACTCGTTAGTACAAAAATTACCTCTGTTAAAAAACAAATTTAACAAAGTCAAAATCTTAAAGTCATTTTCTTTACAAGATTAGAAAGAGCTCGTTAAGCTCTTGCTTCAGCGTCGCTATACCGTTCATGCTACCGTCCGCTCCCTCGGTCAGCCTCTCCGGCCTTCTTTCCAATTTTGACTTTTCATCTCTGAGTTCGATTCAATATCAGTAATAGGTTGATTGTGTAAGTAATTAATCACAGATTGTTCATCAATAACAAAATACGCTGCAAAAGAAAAACTCACCTGGTTGACTTTTTTTCATCCTCGAGATTTGTTTTTGTTTTCCTCTAATCGCTACCAGTTCCTGTAATTCATATATGGTGCAGATGATCCAAACAAGACACAACACCTACTTGCCCTTGATGGAGCTAAGGAAAGGCTGTCTTTGTTTGAAGCTAACTTGACTGAAGAAGGATCTTTCGAGTCCGCAGTTAATGGCTGTGAATGTGTCTTTCATATGGCAACTCCTGTTATACCTTCAGTTTCAGTTTCTGATCCAAAAGCAAAACTCATAGATCCTGCAGTGAAGGGAACGCTTAATGTTCTCAAATCAGCTGCAAAAGTTTCATCTCTCAAAAGAGTGGTTTTGACATCTTCCATGAGTGCGGTTATGTTTCGTGTAGAACCTCGGGAGTTTGGTGCTGTGGTGGATGAAACATGGTTTTCAGATCCAAAAACTTGCGAACAGAAAAAGTTATGTATATATATAATTGTGTTAAAACTTTGATTTTGTTATTAATTAATCAAAAAGCTTATAATTTACAGTTATGGTATCCGCTTTCGAAGACCCTGGGTGAGGATGCTGGTGTGACATTGTGAAACCATGAGGAGCATCCGTAGCAACTTTTCAAAATTTGGCACAAAACTGCAGATGAAGTCCAACTATAGGGACCAAAACTGTAATTTACTCAAAAAATAATAAATAAATAAAGGTGTCTTCCAGGTGACTTGATATAATCGATTCTTTCATAGGACAACGAGCAACGAGGCATGTATTTTTTTTTTCATGAAGGCACAAATGGGGTCAATGGTCAATGGTGGTGGCACTTCCCAATTCCCATTGGCCATTCCCGATCCAATTGATTCTCCCATAAACAAAATTAACAATCGTCACTCTTTCAGTCTCCATCTGCTCAGTTTCCAACAGAGCTCCCCGGTTTCAGAGAGATGATCGGAGAAGGAAAGGTAGTCTGTGTTACAGGAGCTTCGGGATTCATAGCTTCATGGCTCGTCAAGCTCTTGCTTCAGCGTGGCTACACTGTTCATGCTACTGTCCGATCCCTCGGTTAGCCTCTCCTTTCTACGTTGACTTTTAATTAGCTACCATTTCAAAATATTCTGAACCTACATTTCTACTCTCCTAAGGGATTAAATTCGTTGTTTATGCTATTTTCTGCGTTCGAATCCAATCCAAATACTAGCTTTATTGAACAATTAATCAGAGTCAGATTGTTTGATCTCTGACCATAGTAAGTTATATAATCAATCCGACTTTGCATCAACTGCTTGACCTTTTTCATTCATGGGATTTCTTTATGTTTGATTTGATCTGATAGCATTAGCTAAGGGTTCCATTGAAATATGGTGCAGATGATCCAAAAAAGACGCAACACCTACGTGCTCTTGATGGAGCTCCGGAAAGGCTTTCTTTGTTTGAAGCAAACTTGGGTGAAGAAGGATCTTTCGAGTCTGCTGTTAATGGTTGCCAATGTGTCTTCCATACAGCCTCTCCTGTTATATTTTCAGTTTCTGACCCAAAGGTTTGTTTTCTTTCTTTTACTTTTAATAAACTTTCCCATATGTTATCAACACAAATATGATACAATTCCTGATTGTTTTTTTTTCTTAATTTCTATTAGGCACAATTGCTAGATCCTGCAGTGAAGGGGACACTTAATGTTCTTAAATCAGCTGCAAAAGTTCCATCTCTCAAAAGAGTGGTGTTAACATCTTCCATAGCTGCAGTTCTAGTTGGTGTAAAACCTCCCGAGTTTGGTGCTGTGGTGGATGAAACCTGGTTTTCAGATCCTGAAACTTGTGAGCAAAAAGAGGTATAACTGTTTTAAAACTTTAATATTTAGGTCTCATTTTTATACTAATCAAATACTATTTTAATTTTACAGTTATGGTATCCCCTTTCAAAGACCCTAGCTGAGGATGCTGCAGTAAAATTTTCTGAAAATAATGGTCTTGAGTTGGTGGTTATAAATCCCGGGTTTGTCATCGGCCCTATTTTACAACCAACTATCAACATCACTTCTAAGGGATTTATTGGTTTGATTGAAACTGGTAATTGTCTCCTACAACTAATATCCATATGCATGATTCATTGATTCATTTAAACTTATTGCATACTCAAATCTTGATTATATTTGTTAAGGTGTGAATGATGTGTTATGTATATGCAGGAAAGGAAGTATTTCCAGATGGAATCTATAGACTTGTTGATGTGAGAGATGTTGCTAATGCTCATATTTTAGCATTTGAGAACCCTGAAGCAAGTGGAAGATACATTATGGTTGCAGATGTAAATCACTCTTCAGATATCATGAAGATCGTAAACCAAGGCTATCCTGCCTTTGAGTATTCAGAAAGGTAGGTATTTAGTTATTTATAACCTATTTTTAGGTTCATTTTAACTTTATATGGACCCAAAAAAAAAAATGCTAAATCTAGACTACTTGTCTTTTTTTATTTGAACATTGATAGGTATAAAGACAGCAAGTACGAAGGGACACCACCTTTCTTTGTGTCAAGAACAAGGGCGGAAAGTTTAGGAGTTCAGTTTACTACGGTTGAGGTAAGCATCAAGGACACTGTTGAAAGCCTAAAAGAGAGGAAGTTACTAAGCTTCTAAAACACTATGTTCGGGTTGAAACTTAAACAGGTTAAGGGTTGAGGTAGATTGACCCTAGTCCGACCCATTTAATTATCATGTTGTATCATGTCAATCTATTTATTCTCTTGTCAAGTTTATATCGGATAGATGTGTTTAGGATTTTAGACCTTATAAATTTGTTTTGATGCTAAAAACTTGATGTGTAAAACCAAATCTCAATTTTATAGAAGGAAATACGTTAGAAACTATTACACAACTAGACAAGTGTATCTACTTGTATGCAATATAGCTTTGGTAAGACAATGTCGAGTTCAAGGAGAGCGGGTATGATTTAGTTCAAAAAATATGTTTATTAATTAAACTAAAAAGACGGTAATTAAAGTTGGGGAAGTTTTTGTTTTTAATTTTAAAGCAATGAACACTTGAACGGAAAATCAGAAAATAATCTAAAATAAAGCAAAATTGTAAATTGGATTTAGAAACAAATAATAAACGTGTTTTCACTTAGATTTGATTACATCCTTCAATTATTGTTCTCATAAATGAAATGGATTTTAATTCGTCATCTACTGATTCCTATTTTTTTTTTTAGAACGGCAAATCTACTCTACTTTGCTTATTATCAATCTTTAGTTCGTATGATGCAAGATTTGATCATATTGATCTCAATGGTTATAAAATCAATTAATTACATTGAATGGCCATCAAATGTAGTTCATACACATTAAAGTTAATAACTTCATAACCTAACCCTTTTTTTAACGGTTGATTAGTGGTTAGAAATTAGTATCTCCAAGTTAGTAGAATTTGCTAACGTCTGGATTAGAATTCGAGACTTCCAATCTAAGATGGAAAGTCAGTACTAAGTGGGTTAGTCTCACATTGGTTATAACCTAACTCTATAATTTGGTCAATTAATAGTCATAATCGTCATAATGATCATAAAACAATTATGATTTAATCCAACATAATCAAAATGATCATCTAAATTATATTAACTCAATAATAAATTATAAAAAAAATTCTTTAACACATATGGATCTTTGATCAAACTAACATGATAAATTAAACAACTATTAATATCCAATTGATAGAAATCAACTCATGAAATTAGGGTTTGTCTACTCTAAATGAAAACAAGTATCTTTAGCCCATATTCAGAAAGTAAAAACACAAAGTAAACCTAATTTGAATGCTAAACATACAAAATGAATGATTCACTCCCAATCCTTTAAATTCCTGATCCAAATTGCATCTCTAACCTTGAAATCTCCTTTAAACTGCTTTTGGTCGCTCAAGAATGCCTCTGGACGGTTGTAACTTGTTGCATACTCTTTAGGTAAAAGATATGGCTCTATTTATACTTTTTAGAACCGACTTTAAAATGTGTCGTGTAGAGTTTATGGACGTATCATGTTTTGCAACTTTTTGCGTATGAATTGAGCTCTTTTACTCCAACGCATCGCGTTCACGAGTCGTGTACTGCTATTTATTCACTTGATTTTTGCTTCATCAATTCCAGACCAGTCCCAACTCCTTTTCATTCCAGATATGTCTTTTTAGATACAAAACATATTTCCAAGCTCAATCAGTATCATTTATCTTAAATTTATACCAAAACATATCTCAAAATACTTAGATATCATGTGAAATGTATATATAAATCAACATCAAGTTATGAAAGCTCCAAATCATGCATTGCAACAATGTTAAGTAAAGTACATATGGAACTATGTTGGACAACAGGTGAAAACACTTTAGTAAAACTATCACGGGTATTTGTGTATACCATTTTGCACTGAGTTGGGCTTTGAATCTGACATCCTTATTTTTTTTGTTCACATATTTGCACCTAATTGCCTTTTTTCCTTGGGTAATTTAACAAGCTTATAGTTCTTATTATTTTCCAAAGATTTCATTTCTTCTTTCATTGCAGTCATCCATTTGTCAGAATCAAAAGTAGAAATTGCCTCGGTATAAGATGAAGGTTCTTGATAATTTTCCATTTCATCAGCAACTGAAAAAGCATAAACAATTGAATTAGCAAAATTATTTAACCTTCAAGGAGGTCTAATAACCTTCATAGTCCTATCATTTGCAATAGAACGGGATTGGGTGATGAACCCGAAGGAGTCGATAAATCAATATTACTCGCATGGAGCAAACTGTTTTGATTTAGCTATTTTCTGAAGAGATAGTGTGCTCCATATGAATTTGAGCACTCTAATAGAAATAATAGGCTTGGGAGAAGTCTAATACGAATATAAAACTTTTGGCAAAAATCCATATTGAGAATCAACATGTTGTTGGGTGAGTAATATAACTCAATTTTGTTGAAAACGTAATTTAAACACATAATTACTTTGCTTGTCTTGGGATTGCAAAGCTTGTATCTTTTCACACATGATTTGAAACCAATCAAAATACATTTAATGGCTCCGAGATTTATTGTCAATGTGAGCATATGCAACACACCCTAAAATTTGCAACTCCGAGTAGTCTGCGGAAGAACCTTAATGTAAGCTATATGTAGAGTTCAAGATTTTCTATCCAAAAGGGCCCTTATGGAGAAAGGGGAGACTCCAACATATGTAGACATTTATAGGACCATGTAGTGTCGATTTGGGATACACTAACACCCCCTCTCCCTCGAGACAGAGGCTCAATAAGGATAGATCAAGATGTGTTAAGTCATAGGGTGCAGACGTCGGCTCTGATACCATGTAAGATATATATGGAGTCCAATACTGTCTTTACAAAAGAGTTTTTATGGAGATAAGTGGGATTCCAACATATATAAACATTTATAGGATCGATGACACTGATGTGAGATACACTAGCATCCCTCATCTTCCCCTCTTTTTTCTCCATTACCACATTGCCGCCACCTTATCTTTGCCCCTCATGTCACACCCCCTAAACTAGACCAGTGGAAACGTCTAAGGGTGGATGACATCATGTATAGTATCATAACATAATGAAGAATAATGATCAAAGCCATACAACCATCATATTGATAATTAAGAAATTTACATTGTAACATCCATAAAATTCATAAAAACTTAAAACTGTTTCAAGCATTCAAAAACAATTATTTATTACAAAATATTTTCAAAATAGTTTCATATCAGAGTATCCCAGAAATCAAATCATAAAAATGGGAGGAGGTGCACGATCACGCCTTCACCTTCCCGCAATCATTCGAAGTACCTGAAATAAAATCCAAAATTGTAAGCTCGAAGCTTAGTGAGTTCCCCAAAATATCAACGCCATACAAACCATAACCATATCATAATAAGTAGCATGCATATAGAGTCTACAGTATGACTGGACCGCCCTCACTGGTCCTTCAGTATATCTGGCCCAATCTCAGAACCTTCAGCATGTCTGGTCCACCCTACCGGGCCTTCAGCCTATCTGGACCGTTCTGTCACACCCCCGAACCGGACGACGGAAACGTCCAAGGGCTCGCGTGACTTTAATTGAAATATCATCACAATGAATATACATGAAAGATAACATAAACATCACCATGCATTAATACATTACAACTGACCTTGTTCACATCAAGTATATTTTCTGAATATTACATATCCATAGCAAAAATTATTTGAGAGTTTTCAAATTATAACATCCTAACACACTTGGTATTGTTCTTTGACTTATCTGTTACCTGAGAATACAAGTTATTTTGAAAACGTCAACATATGGAATGTTGATGAGTTCATAAGCAGGTTTGATATGAAAATGTTTTGTGTAGTTTATAAAACCTAGAAAATCAGATATTTTCTGAAACAGCAATTGTTTATACGAAAAGTGTGATGATCCATAGGTATATGCATGAATGATTTCAAAACGTGTATAAATGAGAAGTTTTGCATTATAGTTATTGAAAGTACAAGTGAATAATGTTGATTTTCCCGGAAAACCCGATGTTTTCCGATAAAATAGTATGATCGTTTTGTATTATTGTATCGTCACATCGAATGAATATGAATTCCCCTGATTACTTAGATGGTATTGGATTTTTATGTGAGTCGTTATAACCATGCATGATAATGACTAGTTCGTCTATATTGGCATTCTGGTGAGCGCCGGAATTGATCTTAAGATTTTGTCACCCTAGACTGGCCGAGTCTAACTGTAGCGAATAGCTTAGGTGTGGGGGAGTCACCCCCGTATAGATCTATACACAAACTCTCGCTCTCTCTCTCCTGGAGACTTTGATTATAACTACAGACTACGACCGACTCTTATTGGTGTCGCCCGTTATTACTCACTTAATCCAAATGAATTTGATTACCCTTGATTAATGACCTGATTTTTTGTTTACTTGAATAGGAGGTAAGCCTAACAGACAAGGAGAAGAGGATCACGAGGTCCTACTAATCACTATGTTATTTAAGGTTGTCGAGTATACAAAGGGCACGTTGGCCTACTTCGCATATGATTTATTTGGACCTTACTAGCAATGCTAATGGGCCAATAAGGCCCAATAGCATGTAAAAGCCATTGAGGGTCCCCTTAAGCATGTAATTGGGTCACAGGAAGCCCAATAAACATGTATTATTTATGTTAGGCCCAAAAGTCATGTTAATGGGTCACGAAGGCCCAACAAGCATGATTAGAATCTTTCAAACCCAACAATTTGAATGTTACTTGTTTTGTATAGTATAAAAGTTGGGAATTCTGTTTGAACAATTGTTGAGTCGCAAAGTCACAAAGTTTGTCGATTGTTTTATAACGATATTTAGATTTATAAAAATATATGTATATTCTTCATTCAAAATTCATAGGTTATAAAATTTTGTATTGTTGACCTAAATATCTTACTAGTAAAATATTTGACTCAAAAATATTGGTTTGACCTATTCAACCCTTCTTTTAATAAAAATGACAATTTTTGTCCCTTTTTATGACAAATGACATTTTAGGTCCTTAAACAAATTTTTCTTGACATTTTGGCCCAAAGACTTATTTAGATAAGGTTTTTAGCCCAAGATTTAGTTTTTGGACAGATTTAGCCCTTTAAATAAGAAGTTTTGCACTTGAAGTCCAACTTTTTGCAAATTTTACAATTTTAGCCCAAAAGCCAAAAACTTTGCAATTTTAGTCCTATTTGATAAATAAGACATTTTTAATCCCTGAAACATGTTTATTTGCATTTTTAACCATTATTTTGATAACCTTACAATTTCATCCCCTTAAAACATATTTTTCACAATTTTTGGGCCTAAAGGCCGAAAAGCC